GCTCCCCCATCCCTCCCTCCCTCCCTCCCTTCCCCCACCCACACCTCCTTCGATCCCGCCCACCCTGTGCATGACCAATACACCTATCCAGACGGCACGTGCTCAGGTTGGTGGAGCATGCAGGGATGAGGAAAGGAAAAGAGACGAAAGGAAGAGGGAAAGCAGAGAGAGAAGAATGGAAGGGGAAACGAGTGCCCTGGGAGCGGTGGCTGCGCACCCGACATCGCAGCAGGACGAATATCGATTCAATTGGCACATTTATTTCAGTCAATTACGAAACGCTTACTCCTTGTGTCCCTCTTATCCCCTTCCTTCTCTCCCTCCCTTTCAACCCCCTTATCCCAGACCCGAATGGCATCGCTTACAGCGAAGGCGGGTACACCTACCCGTACGACACCTTTTTTCCTTCTTCTTTCCTGCCATCCTATGTCTCGGAGGAGGAAGCTGCCTACGGCTACATGGTTCACTCCAGCAACCTTTACTATGTCGAGGTAAGAGAAAGTAGGAGGAAGCCCTGCCTCAACGCCGGGGAAGCCCCCCCTCCTCGATCCATTTCAGCCCCTCCCTCCTCTTTCACATGGACAGCATCCTCCTTTCCACTATTATCCTCCTCGGACGTACGAAGCCTACTATCCTGGTCCTTCCTACCCTCCCTCCCTGCCTCCCTCGTTTCGGACTCACTCGCCCCACGACTACTCGCCATACCTGTACGAGTCGGGAGAGCAGCTTGTAAGTCGCACGCAGGGACGAGGGAGGGGGGAAGGAAGGAGGGAGGGGAAAGGGCCTACAAGGACGGTAGGGGAAGCAGCGGACGGGAACGTCCACACGTCTACTCAGTCCTCCCCTGAGCTCTGCTCTGATTATCAGTTTCCCTCCGTCCGACTACTCATCGCGACCTTCCCTCCCTTGCCCCGCTTCTCCTCCGGTCGCTTTCTAACACTTGCGCCTCTTTTTCGACAAGAAGACAGACTACCCCCCACTTCCCAATACCTTCCTCCTATTCATACCCTCCTCCTCTTATCCTGTCTCTTTAGATCATTTTCGCCTCTTACCCCTACACCTCGCTAATGTGAGTTCCCTTTCTCTCCCCTTGGCATTTGTCCTTCTTCACAGCCCCCGCACCTCAACGAGCAAGCACCAGCCACACAGGGCGGCTCACACATCTCGGAGGTAATGCCGTAGGCGAACAGAGACCTTCATTATAGGCACGCATGTGTAGCCCCTGCTGTGATATATTTGTCAGGAGCGAGAGAGAGACCAGCACTTTCAAGAGGGCCGTGAAAGAGGGGAAAGCCCCGTGACTCCGCTTTTCTCTTCCTTTCTGTCATCTCGCGGTTCTCGTGACGCACTTTGTGCATTTTTATTGGCATGACTTTCCCACCGGCACGTCTTTTGGCTGCTCTCTGTCATTCCACATAGCCCCATGCATCCCCTCCCTTCACCCATTCCATTTTCCCCTTCCCTTCCACTGTAGTCATACCTTCACACCGTCCACGACTGCGGCGCGATGTCTAATGCAGGAGTGCCTTCTCCCGACATCCAGGTAAGAGACAAAAAGCGCTGTAGGAAATTGAGGAGATACCATGTGGAACGGACGAAGAAGGCCTTGATATCCCCCCTGAATGACTTATGGCAAATCTCTTTCTACAATCTCTCCGGCAGTCTCCGTTGCTCCCCATCCCCCCTCGGCCACGGGTGCAGCGCCACGCGTCCCGTAAGAGCTCCTCCCACCCCCGCGACCGACAGCATGAGCCTTCTTTCAAACCCTCCCCCCTGCCCAGAAGCCCCTCCTGCGAGAAAATCGGTCGCAGCTTGAGGGTAGCCAAGGCGTACTGAGAAAGGGAAATGTAGACGAGGGGGGGAGGGTAGACAGCGTCGAATCGAGGCAGGGCCCTAACATGCAAGGGGCGGAGAGGCGAGTGAGCGAAGTGTGAAGCCCAGACCGAGTGGTCGGAGAAGCGAATGGAATGCGAGGTTGGCATAGCATACCAGCATGGAAGGTAGAATTGCAAAAATGCCTTTAGCTTAGATTTATATGCCGAAAAGACAGGAGGGTAGTGCTACATGTGTGTATCTAGAAAGCATGCGCAGAGCGCACTTAAATGTCATAGTATGAAAGCAGTAGTCAAGAGAAGATATAAGCAGCAGCATCACTGCTTGGACGGTGCACGATACATGTACATATACGGAAGAAAAGGCTCTAAAAGTCGGGCGTGCTTGCGATATTAGGCCCTCCACAAAACCAGCTTCACAGGACAACAAGGAAAGGAAAACACATTCCCCACTGTGATGGGGTGAGGCACGTAACTTTAAGAAAAGAAAGGACATAGCAACCTCATTGATGGGGTAAATGTAGAAATTACGCAAAAACACTTAGCATTTCGTGAAGTGATCGAGGACGGCATTCAGTGAGCAAGCTGACAAGGAGGGAAAAGAGAGGGAAAGAATGGAAACTATCGCACCAAAAGTTTAAGAAACGAAGGTACGCGTAAGGGAATGCCCATGCCATTTTGGATGGTATTCGGGTCTCGCATTTGAATTTTCCGCATCACAATCGCACTAGCTACCTTACATTTTTTCATCCCATTTCATGCTGCATTCACACACGTGCTTTTCTCAAAATCTGGTCCGTTGATCGACCTACGACGACGTGATCGCACACAACACGAGCAATATTTTATGGCTCTGTGCTCAGGACTTTTCGGGAAAAAGAGCCATACGACCTCCTGTCAGGCATCTATGATTACAGAGCGTGCATCAGTCAGGCTATCTCGGTGACAATTGCCTAAGCCCGGGCGTCGGACACGATTCTTATGCCACAGATCCTCGAGGACAGTTGTATAGTTTCCTCCGCGCGTTTTACAGAGCGTCAATTCGCTCGGTTGGGTTCAGACCCGGGAACGTATGAGGTACAGCGGTTCTTCCAACCAGCCGCGAACACTACAGCAATAAAAGCATGCGATCTAAAGCTTTACGTGGACATATTTCGCCCATGTCTCTCCAAATGAGGTTTAACAAGTTTTCGACACCATCAAGGGCATTGGAACGCAAGGATAAATTTGTGCCCGTGTTAGTAGGACGTTGGGCGGTACGAGACGCCGAGGCGAGGCGGAAAATCGGTCCGAAGTCCTCGATCCCGAGTCCGTGGATGACTTCAGAATAATTCCTGCATTTAACAGGATGATTTCAACCCAATTTCCTTCTTTTTAAAGACTGCTCTGTTGTCGATGGCTTGAGTGAAGTTCAGGATCGTACAAACATTTTCGTATCCTTTCGCCTAGCCTGAGCAGTCACTCCATCCGGCTTCAGTACAAAGCTGATGGTCACAATTTTGGATTACTACTTTGCCTGTAATGGCGTCATGAAACTAGAGTCTAAGACCTGTAGCTGCAAAATTTCAGTGTTAAATGACTCTAGTCACTAGGATGGAGGAAGGGAGGCATGGCACGCTGCCACCATCATCGTCACCAGGAGGGAAAGGAGGAGCTCGCAGGCTTTAAATCTCACGTCGCATTTCAGCTGACGGACAGAATGAATTCAATCGATACCCACTTACGTTAAACAGGAATAAAAGCACGAGCACCATGAGCAACATTGCGAGGTGGACCTGTGGCAGCACCGGGAGCGGGGATGACAGACTGATCAGCGTACAGCGTGGCTACGTTTGCGGGAAATGCACGCGATATGAAGATAGATCACGGAAGAGGAGAAGGGACGGAATGAAAGTCTTTCTCTCCTGTGCGATAATCTCTCTGGTGCTTGTAAGTGGACGAAGGCCGCACAGGAACCGGATCTGCCATCCCAAACGCTTCCCTCACATACCTCCCCTCATTATCTACCCCTGACCTGCCACACAGCCCCGTACCCTCGCATCCGGCTCCATGACTACTTCGAGCTCTATCTCCTTCGTCCAGAAGCGCGGCGGATTCAGCCCGCAGAGCGAATCTTTAGCATGCACATCTCCTTCCTCCTCCCCTCCCTCCTCCTCCTCCGCCCCTCCTTCCTCCTCCTCAGCCTCCCCTCCCCCCGTACACGTTCGTGCCAACCCCAGCGAGGGTGAAGGAGGGGAAGGAGTGGCTGCAGGCCCAATAGAGGGATCACTGGAGGATATGCGTGGCTACGACGCCCACCCCTCCATGTTCGCGCCCTCGGGACGCATCCCTCAAGTGGAGTACGCGCGTGAGGTATGGAGGGAGGGAAGGAGGGAGGGAGGGAGGAATGGGGGAAAGAGGTTGAGAGGGCCGAGGAAAGGGCTTATTCTGGTCGAATAAGCAGGTAGGAAAAATCTGAGAAGGGGACGGCTGGAAATT